ACTATCGAAAACTAAACGCGAATACAGTTCCAGRYCGATATCCAGTCCCTCATGGGGATGACATTCTCCAGCGTCTCCACGAATCCACCGTTTTCTCCASCATYGATCTAGTCAGGGCTTACCACCAGATACCCATGGCATGGCCCAAAACAGTTGTAACCACTCCTTTTGGACTTTTTGAATTTCCGGACTACGCAATGCCACGCAGACCTTTCAAAGACACATGGACAACATCCTCAGAGATGTAGAAAAGAATGCTGTCCCAACGTTGGATCTGGGTAAGTGCAATTCTTTTATATGTACATATATTTCTAATCAAATTAATTTTCTTTTTATTTTTCATTTCAGTTTTTAATAAATTGATTGAATTTAATTGAAATTTACMTGTATTTTCATTTTCATTTAATTCTCAATAAAATTTTTAAAAATTAATTGCCCTCATTGTCTATTTTATTTTATCACGCATTTCAGTATAGAAATTTGACCAACGTAGAAGCAAAATGCGAAACAATCATACATACATATATTATTTCTTTGGCACATTTGTCTGTATGTTTGCGAAAGCAAATGTTCTACAAAAGCATATTTCTACACATATTCATATGAATGTACATATGTATACGCATGTGCGCGTTCAGAAATTATATTTGCATACATTGCCGAAGAAATAATGCACAAGCATACAAACATACATATGCGTTCACATATGAATATGTCAGCAACAAAAATTGGCGAAGCCCAAATGTMGTAAATTTTACAACAAAAACGATTTCATTCATAAACGCAGCCGCAAATTCTACAAGCGATCTCGCTTCATTCATAAAAACAGAAGCCGTAACACATCCCCGAGCATGCCTTTGCCAACAAGCGACTTTTCGCGACGAAGGCAAAAGCTAAAAATCATAAATTGCACAACTTTCTGGTGCTTCTCGTAAAAATCTGCGTCGATATGTATTCACGATCATATGTCTGATATGATCATACATACATATTTACGCCCGTTTGTTGGCGAAGCTGCTACAGCGGCAAGGGAAGAGGTGACAATCGGCGGCYATTRCTTTATTTTTTCGGCACAACTCCGATTTTCTACCAGCAAGACACTTGTCGTGCGCTTTGACCTTGGTTGCCCATGACAACATAGATGTCAAAAGATCCGTKCGGCCATCATTGGTTGTTTGTACATATGTGGCYCGTATTTGTTTTCGCAAACATAC